CCATGCGGACGTTGAGCCGGCGCACTGCCAGCTGACACGTGAGGAGCGCGGCGGACGTTGAGATGGATGGCGGTGAGAAAACAAATCGGTTGTTGCAGTCAATAGTTGTTCCCCGAGGGCCGAGACCTTGAAGGCAAACGGAGCAACAATTTGACCGTAGCTCGCACCCTTAAAATTCAATTCACTTTTGTGTTTTAACAAGTTTGGCATAAAACTAAGTCCTACAGTTTCATTTAATTTTGATTTTAAAGTATTATTTGAATCGCTCCATATCAAGTGGCACAAACGCAAATAATACCGAAGTCAAAGAAACTCGGCAAGTGGCAAGCAACAAAGCCTTCTTTAGATCTGGGCCATTTCCCAAAATATTTGCACCACTTCTTCGACACGCCGGCAGTCACTCTTGGTTGACCCCTCCGCCCCCCCCGACCACTGCTGCTGCTGCTGCTGTTGTTGTTGTTGACGCGCTCGCTCCGAGTACATCCCGATCCCAGATGGTCCCAGCTGTGTCGTCAGGTGGGCTTTTATTTGCGTGACCGCCCGCCAGGAAAGGCGAGCAAAGGGCAGCACTGCCGCCCGCTCGTCTGACGGAGAAACGAGGCCATTGCGGAACACATTCACGCTCATCCAAGGAGGGGCGGGGAGGGGGGGGTGACGGGTGTGCAGCCACAAATCCATCACGTTTGCATTCCGTCGCCGTCACGCGCAAATATTTCACAATCTGCGCGTCTTTTCCCCCCGGTAGCCGACGGTCAGGTGCTCTCAAAAGCCCCGATCCAGCCTGTTTTAGACGTCGCCCTCCTCCAACACACCTGACTCAAAAACCCCCACCCCCAAACAAAAGAAAAAAAAATGGCGTCATCAGCGCAAACAAGTAATCGAAAAAAGTTTTCTTGCATCCGTGATTAAAAAGCGTCATACAAATATATTGACCCGTTACTTTTGTGTCGCATCACTTTTACTCTAAGCTTTGTTTTTGTCGTTTCCCATCGTTTCAATGAACCAATTCACTTTGTTGTTCAAACGTGCCATCCCAGTTCAAGTTAGGTGCGCAAAATAAGGTAACAAATGTCCAATCCAATCTTTTTTTTTTTTTTTTTTTTTTTTTAAAGAAGAGACATTTTCTTGGCTTCAGATTGAAAAGCCATTACCGATAAGACTCGCAGGCTATAGCGGGAAGATAGAAAGAAGTCATTATTAGAGATTAATGAGTTTTTGGGGGGAGGGAGGGGGGCGGGAATAAACGTTGAGCGGTGGGCCGCGTTGTCGCCCATGAGACAAATTGGGGCGAGTGCTGTATTTTTTTTTTTTACTTCCCGTTCTTCTATCTGTCATGCTCGGCGGCTCACATCGGAGTGTTTTGGCTCCTTCAGATGAATTGTCACTCCCAAATCAAGTGATGGAACAGGACGGACACAATGGGGGGGGGGGGGGTTCAACCCATCTGAATTCCATTAGTTGGGACGGGCTCGAGGTTTCACTTCCTGTGTGACCCCAACCCTTGGCCACCATCACCCTCCCGTGCCCCGGGGAGTTCCACGGCTTCCACCGCTCCCGATCACATTCCAGCGTCAGGCTCATAAATCAGTTTCCTTGCTCACGCCGGCCTGATTATTGGCGAATCGATCGATCGCGGCCATGTTGACTGCCGATGCGCCGAGCCGGCCGTGACTAATGAGCACCAGGCGCACTCATCGCGGCGTTTTTATTGTGAGGATCGTCATCAGCACGACGGCAAAAAAACGAAACGATTAAAGTCTGGCAGGAATGTCGCTCAGGGAATTATGAAAAATCTCTTTAACTTTTATTAGCTGGAGCACAGAGGTTTAAATATTAACATCGAGCTGAGAGCTTCATGAATACAAGCAAGCTGCTGGTGGTGGGGCTTGAAGAGCACTTTGTTCGGTTCTGCTGGCCTCTACTTTGGACTGACCAACTGCATTAAAAAAAAAAAAAATAGTAGGCCTCTTCCTGCTTCTTAAGTGAGATCATGAACAAAAAGGCCGCAATTCCAGCCGGACTTGCACTGAAATTTGGCCGTTTCTCTCTTTGCCCGTGCGCATCCTCTCCACTCTCTGTCCTATCCTTCGCATAATGCAATGACAAAATGAAAATACCAACGGACTAACAAACGGCTATCAAACCACAACTTGCTGCCTCCCTCTTTTTGCGTCTCGCAAGGTGACCCACTTTTGGGCTCACCGATCTGGATGCACGTGCGCGTCAAAACAATAAGCTGTGTTCCCAGACATGTTAACACAAATGCAAAAATATTATTTCATGTTTAAAAAAAAAAAAAGGTTCCATTGGGTTTCATCACACAGCCGCCATTGCTGTTCTTCCCCAAAATGCCAGCAAACATGCAATCCAAGAATCCGCAGCGTTTGCCTCGTGCCGCTTCTCCATCAACAAATTTAGTCAGCAAATACTTTTCGATTTAATCATAGAAAAAAAAAAATCAATAAAAGAAATGGATGCCCGCTCGTCGGTAATGCATGATTCCTGTCAGCACGGCTGCGGATCACGGCACAACTTTTTTCATCATTTCATCTCCTTTAATCAAATGGAGGGAAATGATATCAGGCTACTCGTGAAGCGTATCCCGCGCTGGAAGAGTCCTCGTGGGAGGAGGAGGGTGGCATTCCGAGGTCGCAAATGGATGAGATGGATTATTAATGACTTGAATATGAGACGGATGGAATGCTCGAGATCCTTATCAGCGGGGGGGGCGGCTGGCTCTAATTGTGATTGCCATCAGCCGGGCGAAACAGGCGGAAGTGCAATGGACGCCGGTTGCGAGAATCTGATACTCTGTTTATTATTTGTGCTTCCTGTTCATTTTGAGATTACTGCTCGCATTTTAGACCCGTGTCTAGTTTACAATGGGTCTCCGTCCAAGTTGTTCATGTTAATTCTTTTCCAGCTCATTCGGTTCGGAATCATTTTGAACAAATAGAGGTGGCAAAGAATAACAGGGACCCCAAATTTGGACTTTCCCGAACAAGTGAGCCATAAAGACTGAAAAGCAACTTTCAGGAGGAAAGTACATAGACTGTGTGAATTGTGAAAAAGCGTCTATTAGAGGTTGGGCCAGTAGGTAGGATTAGAACTTTGTTTTCGGGTTGGTCGACCCCTCCTCCCCCCCAAAAAAACTTTTTTTTAAAATATCTACAGACACAATTAAGATAAGATAAGATAAGAAAACCTTTATACGTCACAATCCAAATAGTCCCACTCTAATCAAGTGAGAATGGTAGTACACCATAGCGCGATCCCGAGTCCAGTCAATTTTGCATTGATTGTCATGATCAGACTTACTTTTCCGTTGATCGTTGCCGTACTTTATGTAACTTCCTGTTTCGCTTGTGGCAAACGTCTGCTTCTTCCTCCGCTTTCCTCTGTTGAGCTTCCTCGTCCAACTCTCCTGCAGACATGCCGGGGTCTCGACCTCCATCTCCCATCTCCTTCCAGGCGGGGCGTCCCTGGAGTGACCTTGGGGCTAATGAGTTCCTGAACACCAGTCAATAAACCTCGCACCCCCCTTCCAACCATCACTGCCAACCCCCCCCCCCCCACACACACACACACGATATGCTCAGCCCACAAAGAGAAAGAAGGCGTAGTGGCGAGGCAGGCAGGGCAAAGCAGGACAGAGGATTCCGATGAAAAGAGCTTAGAGGACTGAACACTTCTCTTCCGACACACAACAAGCAGACCTCGGGATCAAGTAAGTGCGTCTTTGTTTTGAAAAGGCCACATGTGCTTACTTCCGGCGAAGTCGGGCCCTCTCTGAAGCGTCGGTTAAATTTTGGGTCGAAACTCTGGGAAAGTTTTCCCAACATTTGATTGTTTTGCCATTTAGGAATGATGGAACAGCTGAAAAAGCAGAATGTCCTGGCTAAACTTTTTGGTGGGGTCCCTGTGACGTCTGAAAGGTATTGACATGAAACGGGCTTAGAATGGTGATCTGAGAATGTTCCTGCTTTTGGAGGGAGAGTTCAGAAACTTATGAAAGGTGCAATGGCGTAAGTGTGTATGTGTGTGTATGTGGGGGGGGGGGGAACACTGCTTTTCGTGGCTGGCTTTTCCACATGTTGCTGTTCTATGTGAAGGATATGAACACCGAGGTAGCGTTGAGGCCTATCGCAGGGCAGGATGGTGCCAGTGCGAAAGGGAAAAAGCGGTACACTGTCCGACAAATTTAGATGATAGATAGTATGAGGCGTATCAGATGCAAGGAGATCATTGTTCTGTATGAAAGATACAAACGCAACATTTGGATGCCAAGGCAATATTCCTGGAACGGGATGTGAAAGTCATCTGAAGATATTTGTCAAGTGACTTGTGGGTTAATATTGCGATGGGCATCATTCCACGCTTGTGCTCTGTTTGATGCGGCCCACTTTTTTCCCAGGATGCCGCGATTTGGGTCAGGCCTGAGCGGAATGACAAACCCTTAGCGGGTGTATTGTATCGCCGCCGTCCAGCTGCCGTTGCCATGGCGTTCCTCGGCAAACGCTCTCCTGTCTTATATGCATTCCTGGCACAGGCACCCCCCCCCCCTTCACTACCACCCCCCTCTCCAACCCCTTCAAAATGAGGCGTCAACCCAAGGTGGTGGTCGGAATGAAAAAGGCGGATGAGCCGGAGAAGTTTTCAGAGGAAGTTCCAACCGGAATGCGGATCGCAGGTTTGGGGGGGGGGGGGGGGACACACACAG